TGGGCTACCGTGTGTGGCCAGCAGCCAGCTGAGCGGCCGTCCAGAAGCCGGCGACTGATCTGCCTCGCCAGGGAAGAGCGCAATGATGGTGCCAACTTGGGCCAGTGAAGCGACGTCCTCCACAACTAGACTCAAGAACAAAATGACAGCAACTTATCTGTTCCCCTTCCCCCAATACCCCCCCAAAAAAATCATGAAAAAAATACTACTCCTAATAATTCATATTATATAAGCTCAATTCTTCTGCAGTGTTTTATTACTATTCTGTTAGCACTAACATAATATTCATTTTTCCTTACAAGATATTCTCTGAACACGTCACCAAATAAGGAATGATAATTTCTTAATGACGGTTATACAACTCAGCTTTGACACAAGAAAACACATCTGGAAAGTGATGGTAAGGGCACAGACTCTCTTACGTAGCTTCCAAAACCTAAGGGTACCCTGGATCCCACTCTTCTCTAATTCAGCACTATTGCAGCACATGGAGTCTCATTTGCTGTTATACCCCTCACCTTACCACCCCTCTAGTTTAGAACTAAAGCACTTCCTCCAGAAAGCATCCCACTATTCTAATCCTCAGTGATTTGATTTTCCTCCTTTGGAAGCCTAAAGTAGGGATTAACTTTTTGTATCACCAATCCTTGACACTCTAGTGAAGCCTATGGACCTTTTCCTAGAATGTTTTTATAGATATAGATACGTAAAATACACAGTATGACAGGAAACCAACTATTTATATTGAAATAGTTAGAAAAACAGTTTAAGCATCATTTTCTGTATTTTGTGAACTCAATTGATGTAGTAAGTAGTAAACATTTAGCTCTTGATCCAGTAACTACCGTAATTTTGAAGTAATGAGGAGCATAAATGACACTGAATATATCTTCTGCAACTGAAATGCTGGGATACGAAAACATACTGCTAATACTGAGCAGGCAGCTGGATGGAGACAGAAATTGTAACAACACGACTGTAGGTTTTGGGGTTTTTTGGGGGGGCCCTACATTCCTAATTGAAATAAATTTCAGTTAGACAATAACAAAATTTTCCAGTCCAAGTTCACGAATCTTCTGAATTATATCCACTAGATTCTAAAGTGCCCCTGCTCTAAAACATCAAAAAAAAAAAAAAAGTATCCAGACGAGGTAGTCACAGCTTCTCAAGGTGAAAGCAAGCGGGTATTAAGAGCCAATCGTTATCAAAAACACCCTTAAAAACCTCTTCAATATGCCATAAAGGTACAACATGCTTGGGTTTTGGACATAGGACTCTAACAGCAATTCTAAAACACATCACAGCTTGAAAATCCCCACAACAAAGGAAATTTTTCTGCAGCCGGCTCGACCTCTATGGTTAAGCAGCTCCCACGGCCACTGCAACCGAGTCAATTTTAAAGCGTTCCTGCTTGCCTACAGGTCTCGGCTTCCATTTTATTTCATTATTTGGCCGCCCCTTGAAGACACGTTAACAGATGCGTTAGCGGTGAAATTAACGAGCTGCCTTCCACAGGAGGCCAGGCTCTGCCGCCAGCCAAAAGCCTCGTCGATCAAAAGCCAATTAATAAAAATGTACTCAGCTTCCAAATCATTGTTACTCCAACGCCACCGCCATTAGCCTCGTCGACTGCGGTACTTAAGGGACGATGCGCAGGCGCAAAGATTTACACACACAGGCCTCCCCACACGGCATCCGCGTGGCGGTAGCATCTTTTCACGAGCAGCGGCCCCGCGAGCGCGCACGCGGCCGCCGTCGGGACGTCCCGCAAAACGCTGCCTCCAGGCGGCACAAAGCCGGCGGCGGCGACGCCCCGCCGAGGTGGGCGCAGGGAGACGCCGGCGGCCATCTTGCGGCGGCCATTTCACGGCGCGGCTCCCCGGCCCGAGCGCCCCGCCCGCCCCG